TATGTTCTAGCCTAGTATTCATGTTGGGGTGGCCCAGCTCGTACTCCAGTTTGGTCTCCTGTTCGGCTTCCTCCACCTAGGTATTGGGGATGGAGTTAGCTGCGTGTATCTTTGTTCGTGGAATGGTTAGAACGCACTCCCTTGCTTCCCTCTGATCTCCGTGGTGAGTACCTTCTCCTTCCGAGATCGGGAATTTGATGGAGTAGTGGAAGATGGAGACGACAGCTCTCAGCTTGTAAAGTGTTGTCATGCCCAGAATGGCATTGTACTCGCTCGGGCAATCCACGATCTTAAAAGTATCTAGGACCGTTCTCGTGGGTTGCCCTTTTTCCCCCAGCCTGATCGGCAACACTACTTGATCGACCGGGGTTGTTGACTGTCCATTGAAGCCTTGGATACGTTCCCGACAAGGCTGCACATCCTTCTTGTCGATCCCCATCTTCTTGAAAGTGTTATAAAAGAGGATGCTCGCATAGGCTCCAGTATCGACCATGATGCGTTGGATTTTTATCGCCATGATTGACGTCGTGATCACCATGGCGTCTGAGTGGGGGTGGTCGAATAGAAAGGCGTCTTCATCGGTGAATGAGATTTTATTCGGCATTGGCTCCAGCGCCGGTCTACTGCTGGCGTGCAACACTCTCTGCCCGACATAATAGGCTTGCCGGGCATAGGCCTTGATCTGTCTTCTCGATAGAAGGGAGTCACCTTGGCTTGTGCTCACGCACCAAGGTGAGTTGATCGTCTGGTCGGTCCCCGGCGGGGGAGACCGCTCTCTCTTCCTGCTTCGAGAAGTGTCGGCCTCGCCCTGATGAGCCGGGCTGAAAGTCAGAATTTCGTTAGGGTCGCCATGCTGCGGCTTCTTCCTCCGATGGTGCACATCGGCATCTTCCTCACTGTCGAGGCCGTGCACAAAACGGCCTCATTTCTTTCTTTTATCACCAGCGTGGGTGAATTTTTTCAGCTAGGGGTCCTCAATCAGCTTCAACAATGTCGTGATCAAGTTTCGGCATTGGTCGGTGTTATATCCGTGCGACTTGTGGTAGGTGCAGTACCGAGACTTGTCAACCTTGTCCTTATTGACGTACATGGGTTTGGGGTCGAAAAGCAGTCCCTTCGCCTTGATCTCCTCATAGACCGTGACGGCACGTACCGAAAAGACGCACTGATAATTTTCTTTCAGCTCGTCGGCCTTCTATTTCCGTAGAGCTCGGACCTCGGCTAGCGACTTCCTCGATTTTCCTGACTTGTCTTCTTTGGCCTCACCTTTGCCTTGTGAGGAGTCGAGCACTGGGATAGATGAGGATTCTTCGGCTATGATGTATTTTTGGGCCCGGGTGAGGAACTCTTGGTAAGTGGTCGGCTTGTTTTAGCAGAGGGACCACTTGAACAATGTCTTTGGCTTGAGGCGGCTTGTGCCGAGATTAACAGCGCCTCCGGGTGGCACTGTTTCATGTTTTGGACCTGGTCATTAAACCGAGCGATGTAATCCTTCAAGCTCTTGTCCTCGCCTTGGACGATGTTGGCAATGGACTTATTGGGGGCCAGGTTGATCTGCGACCCGATGAAGTGTGATCGGAATGCCGACCTAAGCTGCCCCCAAGTGGAGATGGAGTGGGGGTACAGGGAATGGTATCACATGTGCGCCTTCGGCCCTAATGTCAAGGAGAACATGCGGCAGCGCAGGGCATCAGTCGCGCCGTGCAGGTCCATCCAAGAGGTGTAGAGGCCAATGTGGGAGTCAGGGTCCGAACTCTCATCATAAAGTCCAAGCTGCGGCACCTTGATATTTTGAGGCACAGGCTCCTGTAGGATGTCGGGGGAGAAATGTGAGGCATGGTCCACGACCCGGGGAACAGTACGTGGTC